AAGGTAGTATAGTTAACAACATGAAATTAGTAATAAGCAGATTAACTACCCACCTTGTTTGTAAAAAACAAGCATGTTATTGATCTACAAGCGCACTCATTTTTATTTCAAGCAGTTAAGAATCGCAAGGGAAATAAAACAAATTTGAGAAGGGAAAGGGTAAATCCATAACAACGGTTTGTGGCAAGGGATCTGTTTCACTGTTGTCCCGAAAATAACAGTCATGACATACTTTATTTTTCAACAGGCTTACACTTTGCATTGAAACATGCTATTTCACAAGTATATTTTTATCGTTGTATGCAATCCCTTCTAGAGATATTGATAATTTTATTTCAGATAGTGTCTGCATTTAAAATACAAACTACTAAATAAGCCTTACCTTTATCAGTTTGTGGTAAAGATAGGAAATCCATAATGTCCGAGTTCCTGTTGATCGAGTTATGTCTGCTGGGCACATACGAACTTACGCACGCTGCAGATCAGTGTAGGATTCCCGTCAGTCATACACTGAAACTAACTCTAACTGGTTGGTATGCTGAGAGATAAGTTATAAATAGTTGAGAATTTGTGTTGCAAAGAACATTAGGTTTTATCGTTACAGCTGAGTACACATTTTCTGTATATACTACCATTCATGATTTTCCCAGTATTCAGGTAAGCCATGCCTAGATATAAATATTCATACCTTTGTGTTAACGTCACATCTGAACAATTTTGATATGATGGCCTTACAATGACGCTTCAGGTAAAATATTATTTTGGTTACGAGGAAAATAGACCCATATGCATTCCTTTTTGATATAATAGTTGCCTTTTACTTAATTTTTTATTTTAATTCCTAATCTTCAGCCATTATTATTCGGGGAGAATTAAATCTGAACTGTGATTCTGACAGAAATACGTAGGGAAAAATAACACAGGTAAGTCAGTGAACACTGTATTCAATGTGAATCGCGTACATATCAGGAAAAGCTGTTTTTGAGTCTCATTTGTAGGAATTCATTGTCTAATTTCACTGTCATGGTATAGAGTGAATCTTGTACCACAGTAAAGACAACATCTATATCTGTTGATTCCGACCACTCTCAGCCGCATATCTCGAACGCTTCAGTAAACATCACAAATTTCCCGAAAATGGGTCATTTCCCTAGGCCAATCGAGTTACAAAACCTTGTTGTCAGCATGAGTGTATTGGCAGACGCGGCCGATACCTGTGGATTTCACAAAAGACCCACAAGTGGAATAGCAAAGCATCGTACAGCTGCTTCGTCCTTCTAGGACTCGTCAGTGGACTACAGGCCTAAATCTTAACCTAAAAGGCAACTGAGGAAAAATTCAAAGTGATTGAAAAAATATCTAAGTCTAGATGTAGAGTTGCACTATTCACATAATTCAGTGAAATGTGTAAACATAATAAGTACTTGTGTATATTCTGAACCGTGCCACTATTCGAATGAATTAAAACGTGGCATTGAGGTTACAGCAAACCTCATGGACTAACAGTCCATCACATGCAATCTCTAAGATTGTATCTTTCAATACAAATCTGAAATGTCAAAATGTAGATGGAGAGGTGCATTAGTCATATGATCTATTTAATTTCGTAAATTGTGCTTGACTTACAGACATTTGACCGTTTTCTGATGTTTCATGAAGTCTTGAGATTAATATAAATTGAAACACCTGTTTCCGAATCGCATTCAGGTTTGATAAATGTACACAATGAAATAAAGTTTTTATCTTATTACAAAGCCTTTCCTGGTGGAATACCTGAAAGGTTTATCGACAATTTCAACATCAAAACTCGACGAGTACAATGGCGACAGACATTAACAAAACAATTGTAATTATACTTTGAAGAAAGAGTTTCGCTATTGTTCGACTAGGTAGTAATAACACTCCCTTAAAAGCAGCGTTTGAAAAGTCTTTCCATGAATCTCGAATATTCAATAGGTGTACTTTACATGTACCTTGTCTTTTTTGCGAAAAATGAAAGGTATAGACTTCGGTTAACATTATTTATATCGTTTATGAAACAGAATATTATCATTACCAGGGAAGTGTCTTCTACAGTAAAAATGGCAAACGTTAGTATTACATATATAGTGTAGGGAAGCTAGCCCTTGAAATGAGACCTATAGGTTAATTCCATCCAATCACTAATAGAACTGTCATTGTATCATACAGCCTCCAGTATTACATTATGTGACCTTTGAACCTTTCACATTCTATGCGTTTATGTCGAATTTATGGTCGCAATCACGAAAGGAAAATACATTTTGTATTATATTTCCTTAAACATATTAAGTTAGATGTGTCCGAGAATGCTTATTACACCGGATAGATTCATCGTTATAAGGCTGGTTCTCAGAATAGAACGTAGATGTACATAGGTTGATCAGATTTACATCGAAGTTGATGAAACCGCTCACTTCCCTTCCGTAACGCCTGATATTGATCTGATGCTTTTTTCTACGGTATCCATAAAAATATTTGCTTTGTTCAAATTTCCTATTTTAATATTTCTTTATGTTATTGATCAGCTGCCCCCATATTCGTCCGCTTTAATTTCTATAATGTCTTTCTCTCCTTTCAGTTCCTGTATTTCGTTTCTCGAGCAAAAATCCGTATTCTTTTTATGTTTCCAGAGACCATTCCAGAGTCAAGATGGGAAAACATATCCTCATTAGTAGTATCATTTCTAAACTGTCTGAGAGGCAAGCAGGAAACGCATCACCATTGATATTTTTCTTCCCAGAAAACAAGAAAACACCAACCAATATGTCAACATAATCATAATCCAAACTCAAATTCAATAAAACTATGGCACAATACGAAGAAAAACAACTTCTCGGAGATTCCGTATAAGAAGAGTTTTTTTTATAGAGGAAAGTGTCTTCTGGTTCATCGACGACATCCGCCATGTAAATCTTGGTCAATTCAAGTAGGCAACGTCACGTTCTCAAATGATAATAAGATATACAACTTAACCAACTAGCAAACTAACGAGAAGCAATCCTGAAAACATTTTGAATTAAAGCAGGAAATTAGTTATGATAACTTCATCCCTGTATTTCTTTTATTCAAAGACTTGTGTAATGAATGGGCTAATATAAACCATGAAATGTCCTATCCATCTATAATGAAAACGATGCAGATAAATTAGCACGTGACAAAGGAAATATAAAACGAAGATAATTCGCGGTCACAAGTGGATACATGGAGTCATTTATCAAAATCACAGGGGTAATGTGATTGTTCGTATCCATCTATTGTATATCATACCATTTATTTAGGTTTAAACACAAGGGAAAATCTCCAAGAGGTGCATAGCAACAACTATGTATATTCTAATATTGTTCGAGGTAAAATGATTTAAAATCTGAATTACAAGAGAAATTGGAAAAAAAAGACATATCAAAAGTTTAGTGCCAATCGGACACTCATTTGCTCTCAGCAAATGTTTAGTTGTCAATATGTTAAGGTGTATGCCGATGCAAATAAAAATGCTTTTAAAGTTTTTATGATTCAGGATAAGTGTTAATATGGATTCCTGGTGTCCATACCTAAACTTCATCCCAACTTTCTATGAATGATAAAGACTATTGTTTGCTGTTGTTGATGATTAAAACGGTAGACATCGCAGAGATGCGTAAACAAATTCACATGGCGGATGACACCGATGAGGCAGACGCTGAACCTTACTGAACACCTGGTCGTAATCTCCATGGATTTTTTTCACAGATCTTCGTGTAATTCTTTGATTCTGTTAACGTGTTAACATGTCATTTCGTCGCATCAAATAATTAACGAAAGTGAAAAATATCACATATATATACGTATGTAACAAGCATGAGTTTGTGTAACCTGTTGTTTCCACAATATAGAGTCCTTCCGACATGTGAGTGGACCTGCTCTGTAATCAAGTGTATTTCGTCGATGCTATCAGTTGGGGCTTAATGATATGACTTGTTGTGAAAATAAATGATATGTTATCTTCAAATCAATAATTGATAAAATACATATAAAGATTATTTCTAAATTAATCGCAAGCTACCATTTCGCGTTTTTATTTCTCAATCAAAGTTCGCGGTGTCGGTCAATCAAAGACGATTTGATTCCATAAGTGGTTTACTTTGTGGTGTTAACACCGGGGTCGTAATGACTTATTATTGCCTTAAGAGTTTAAAAAGCATTTAATCATTTTAGTGGAATTTAATAAGTCTTCGTTCTAACTGCTTTCTGTTTGACCAACATTCGAAGTTGTAAGGTACAGAACATATTCTCTCCCCTCTTGAAGACTAGCCGAAATTCGTAGAATTTGAACATTGTACTATTGCCACACGTCATAAACCACTTTTTGACCGTAAGACTAAACTAACTGACTTGAGATATGTATTTCCCCTTTTCAAAATTGTTTTTTCTTGAGTAGTACGTTTTACAACTACCTCTCTTTTAGCAGTTGTATTGGGCGTCCGTCAAAACGATCGTGACATACTATTTTTCCACTTGGAATGTCTGTTTGTGGCCCAAGGACACACGTGAATTCTCAAACAAAATTAACCAAAAACTACTAAATGGCATAGCTGTCGATTAAGACGTGTTGGTTCGTTTTCAATATATATCATATTGATATCTCTTTAAAGTGATTCGTTGTTGACCTCACCATTAGATGACACGTTTTCACGTGGGTTTAATTGCTATAATGAGTTACAGATGAGAAAAAAATCATCACGTGATGATTGTTATCGGCTTCAACGTGAGTTCACATATTTCTGGGGATTTTATACCGAGTTATTACACGTTTGCATTATGTTAACATAAAGGTAAAACAGACATTCAAATGAACAGACGACGTGTGGTTGTAAACACCCAACAATGAAATCCTGTAACTTCCTGGTTTATTCATGATCTCGCTTTTAAGGTTAGGTAAAGGGAAAATGTAAAAAAAAAAAAAAAAAAGATCGACATTTTATTGCCATTACAGAGAATACAAATCAACATTTATTCTGCAGACTACCGAGAATGTTTATTTTGGCCATCTGCCAAAAGGATGACTCATTGTACTTGTATATGGTATAGGACTGTCGCAAGCTGCCGTTGTTTGGACCCCAGTCTGAAGACGGTAATATCGAACACTTAAGTCTCTGTAAATAAAAATAAAGTTAGTTGCTTAACATCATTGTTGAAAATAGTAAACTTATGAATATCGCAGTGTAACCGAAGTAGATAACGATGGAACAGGGATTTAATCTCAAAAATATTAATCTGTCTAAATATATTGCAAAGTTAGTTTTAAATGTGGAGAGATTAAGACCAACTGTTTCTCAGTCAAAACAATTATTCTGCTTAATCAACGAAATCCTAATTAAATTGCGGTAATGGCGGCGATATAGAATCCTAATGGTTTATTGGGCTTGTTGTGTTTATCGAGTCCACTATCAACGAAGGAATTGGTTTTGCTTGGTTTACATAGTTTTACCTAGAGGGTGATTATTATTTAATAGTTTTAGGTAATTACACATATAAATTTTCAGTTGAATTGACACTTCTTTATAGCGTTAAATAGCCGACATTTAGCATTTTTATTTTTATATTTCGTTTATCGTTTATTAGCTACTGTGTCTGTTTACATGTACATCGGGACAGGTCCAAAATACCAGCACAAATGAGACCAGTCTGTGATCACAAATGTAAATCCTAAAGTACACAGTGTTAGTTACGGTAAGTGTTATCATTTTCCAATCATATATAACCGGTTTATCTATTAACGTCTATTACTTTCCTTACTTATTTTCAACACTTCCATATACTTATGTATTTGTATCATTTTCTAGACCGAAATATACCATTTGAGCGTCGGACAAGTAAGCCAGAGGCCTCGGGTTCGAATTCTAGCGAAGGAATTGAATTTTTTTTTTACATAAACGTGTAATTATTTTACACTCTTTGGCGCTAAGGTTGGTCACTGTGAAGTAAAATCTGTTCAATATTTAATTAGTCATCTGTCCCGAAGAGACAGATTGACCTTTAGCCCTTGTGCTGTGCGTTAACTTTCCATTCAAACAACACCTTCTCAATTACCAGAAGGCCCAGAGTGCTGATATTGGGCGTGTTGCATGCTAGGATCAAGGGCTACTAAGTGGTTTTCATATGCCTGACCTTGGTTCTTTTAAAGACCACAGGAATCAAATGTGTTAAAATCTTTAAACGAACGACCTTCTAATTTTCCAGGCTATTAAAGTTGGTTCTTTGACGTTATTGGATGAGGGCTAAGCTGTAGAGCAGTAATTTAGGCTTATATTGCCTTTGCCTTAGGCAGATGACCGCTAAGGCCCATTCAATGGCCTCTTGTTAACTTTAGACCTTACGGCCACAGTACAAAATACATTAGGGAACAAATACATAAAATTTACTGAACTATAGTATATATAGTGTCGCGATTAGTGAAGAATTGAGTCATACAAAGTTGGCATAATTTACGTGTTTCACTAATTAATCACTTATTTTAGTTCAAGTTGTATCATTCAATGTTACATTACGACAAAATTGTACAAGATTACGAATATTCCCTTTGGTTATTAGCTAAATTATGTTATTAGAATTGGATTATATGATAAACTTTCAAGACAATCTTAAGCAATGAATGGAAATCATAATCCTAGAGAGCTATTTAAGTTTTTCACAAATCATTTTGAAAAAATGAAATATCATTTGTTGTTGATTAACAATTTTTTTTTCATTTTTAAGTGATTTATCAATGGTCATATCAATATAATTACATTTATGTATGTATCGCATTTTTTCGGTCCGTTCCGCTCTAGATAAATAAGGTATATATGAATATATCGTATCTATAGAAATACAAAACATTTAACATGGCAAAGGATATTCTAAATTGCTGGTGCTATGGGTTCTTTACATAACATTATGACGTATTCCTATTGCAAAATAATGAGAAGTGATTTGATCCATTGTTGTCCCGCGTGCGTTTAGTGATGGTTTAAAAAGTTAGAATTGTTTATCAGACTTTTTAACCCGTCACATGAGTTTACGCAGTGTCATCAATAATAACGTTATTAACTAATATCGATAAAAAAAATTATTAAAAACTGTTGTCGTGCATTGCTATCTACTGAATTCGGATAAAAACGGACGCTCAACATGCGGTGTTTCACTGGACCGTTTACTATTTCTAAACGAGTGCTAAATACCTGACGGCGTATCTGTCATCGGCACAAGCGTGTGAATTAATTGTGCACGTGTATTTACTATTTGCTCAGACTATATATATGCCTAATGCGTTCGTTGACATATTATAACGGTTATAACGGCAGGTTAGCATAAGTTTTTACATATATACAAATTAAATGCTTGCTCGCGATACATATATTTGCAAGCATGGTCCCTTTAACTAAAAAGGTGTAATGAAGTTGAAAAAATATAATACCAAGAAATGAAATTCAATTGATCAGTTTTCATGAAATACTTATGATGTGATAACCTTAACCTGAATTTCATCTACATTTTACTGTGTTTGAGGACTTAATTCTTAATTATAGTTTTCCGTTAAGCTCTTCATTAAGCTTAATTTTGCTTAATTATGATGATCTCGAAAAGCTAGAAATGCAATATATTTATACTAATCAACCTCATAACGTTAACCCTTTGTGTAAATAGCTGCTAGTAAATAAGGCAAGGTAAATGAGGTAAGACGCCGGTGAAACTATTTGATGGGTTCCTTTAAAAGTACGGTAATCATCTGGTTAAATCAGTACTCGACGTTAATGTATTCTGTTGTGACTGAACAAGATAAAAGATATTTCAGATATCATTCGTTTGAGCGTTATTGTTCACGATTGAATCAGGATTTATAGGTCATTAGCTTCAGGTCTTTAATTGCGATTCTGCTTTGTAAAGTACGAACATATTCTAAACCTGTAACGGTCCGACGGTTGAAGAAAGATAGTAAACAGCAGTATTTTAGATTTTGTGGCCTTAGGAGGTATTTTTCATGTCTAGGTTTAATGTGATTAAGTGTTCCCTATGAAGTTTCATATTTAATTATATTAGGCCGAATCCTGGGGCATGCGGTTTGTTAATGACAATATAATTGGAGATCTAAAGAAGCTGCTTATACACAATGTAACAAGTAATGACAGAAAGTATTACCTGTATCAGCGATCCCTGCTGTCCCAGCAAGTTCTTCAGTAGGAGGACTGGTGTTGGAACAATTGAGACAATGCCAATCAGAATACCTACGACGCCAATATAGTCAGGGTATATATATCCTTTATACACAGGACGGTCAAAGGTCACAAGGACAGCGACGAACGCAACCTATCAAAAATTATTAAGGCCATCTTTATATTCTTGTAAACAATATTTTCATGACGAATTTACCAGTCATCATCATATTAAGGAGGTTTTCTTTCATTTGATCTTCACATTACATTCAAAAGTGCTTCACGCTTCATCAATATAGCTTATATAAAAGCAATTGCCCTAACACTTAAAAGTATATATATTACAGTGTGTACTCTAATGTCTCGCTACTAATGACTTATCTATATGATTTGCCTTGCCTTTACAACGCCTCTTTTTAATCGGACTGCAGCAAAATTTCTCTTGACAATATATAACCAGATAATTAATAATATTATTGCCATATAAACAACGTTTGATGATTTAGTCTACCAATTCAACTTCAAACCAAGTCAAAACTACTGACTACCATTCTTAGTGCTATCAAATTACAGTCTTATTGTGATACAGTTTACTCAAGAAGTGGAATTAATTGGTTTGTGGATTTTAAAGAACACTAAAGAATTTTGACCAATCCACAACACCCATTTCTAAAAGAATTTCTTCTATAAGAACACCTGATTTTTTCACCCTGTACGCCGAAATGATCAATTTGTACCAAAAAGAACGCCTTAGTTCTCTTGTTATGAGAACTTTGTTATCAAAGATAGGTGAACTACGGTAATGTATATGGTTATGAGTTATACTGAGCCTATTTCGTAAAAAATCAAATACTTCCAAATCAAAGGAGAAATATACGGACGATAAAATAATGAAAATCATCGAGTTTCTGGCTGAAACCATCTTCGTCATGTATGGTAATGGGCGCTCCTGACAGACTTTTGGCATACCCATGGGAAACTGTTCCTCCGTTGGTTGAATGTTTTTGTTTTCATACAAGGCTGAATTCATTAAAGAGCCCTTTAAAACAGGTCCTAAAGACATGCAAAATCGTTCAATTTCACTTTCAAATATAAATGACGTATTGCATTTAAATAACAAGAAATTGTTTATTCCAATAAGAATTGGAGGTCAGGGACACAACATATTCTTAACCATCAGTCGCTTATTTCGATGATTTCCTACGACGAAAATGGACAGTTTTCCATCAAGCTGTAGGATAACGGTGAGGATTTCAATATCCCTATTTTTCCATTTCTGGACAGCAGCAACCTTGCATCCCCAACCTATGGTTTAATTGCTCTTCGCTTGCGACTATTATCAATTTGGTAATGAACAAAAGTGAAGTATGGAGACAAACGAGTTTATCTATGGAGAGATTTACAAATATTGTATGAAGGCAATTTTGTATAGTTTTGTTGCCTTACTCACCAGCATTAAAGTTGGAGTGACGATACACCAAGACACGCGTATAAAAACGGGTACTGAATGTCCGGTCATCATTTGTATATCCTTACTGAAGCGTTCCGCCCCTACAGATTTGAGATAGATGCTTTATTTATCTGATTTAGTTTTCAAACAAAATGAAAAATTAAAAATAAGATTTGTGCAAACGTTTCAAAATTCGCCAAGCAAAAGTCTCCCTTCCTCTTGCATTATTATATTCTACAACAGCTGTTTATAAAGAAAGTAAACATGTACTCAAAAATTGGATACATCTGGGTAGAGAATAGATTTAATTATGGCGTCAAGTAAATATGAATGAATGAGTTTCTCTCGTGAAGTTATATATATGATATAAATGATATGATCTCAACATAAAAAATGCAAATAATGATACAGACATATGATAAGTGTATAGGACATGTTCTCACCGTACAACCAGCCAATAATGATACATTCCAGACATGCAACCATAAAGATACAGAATGTAGATTCGTACCAGTCAACAAGTTGAAAGATGTAAATTCCGGCCTGAAATATTAAAAGCAGATTTTAAGAGATTTCTGTGCTACAGCAATGTATCCTTAGCAGAATCCCTACACCAAAATGCTTAAGACAAATCATTTCTACGATCAAACAACATTTTAAAGCAATCTAATGTGAAAACAGTCTTTAAAAAAAGCAACGGTAACGTTGTTTTTTACAATTGACAAGGAATACATGCCTATTAAAAACTGAACAAAAATCCCTTTTACACGACATGGTAATTTTGTTTTGTCAATTCACCAATGTATACCTTTCGAATCGAGTCCGAAATGGTGAATAACTTAATTTCATTTTGCTTGTAGACTTTCATCAATTTTCATATTGTGTAGTGACATACCGGTACATGTATTTATTGTTTTATTCATAAATATACACGTACGCTATAAAACATTGTTTTAACGTTTATTTTTTTAATATTTTAAAGAAAATATACAGACATGCTAAAGCAAGACTCAATCGGAAAGAAGGAACAGAAAGCAAGAGACTCATTTTCCACCCAAGCTTTTGTGCAATAGACCTGTTCCTTTATAATGTCAACGAACGCATGTCCGAAACGATAATTCAAATGTGACATACATCATCAGATGTTATCGATAAAAATATCAAGCATATTTCTGATGTCTTAAAAAAAACGTTGCAATAGCTATGAGAAATTTAATTAATGATTGCTTTCATGTTAATTATCTTTGTCTGAAAACAATAAAGTGATATACATCTGTGATATGGAAATAATTACCCGTGTCGAAAATATTATGCTGGTCAAGAAGAAGAGTACAAAAACAGTAAAGAGGACGTAAGTCTTGTGTTTGCGCAGAGTTTTAGGGAACCTGTCCGTGAGTCCACTTATCACAGCTTCCAGCATGCCAAACTGTGATATGAAAACAAAAAAGGTCTTTCATGACAACACGCTGAATCAAAGGGTATGTTTTGAAAACATTGCACTATTAATCGAATACTGCTAAAAATCAACACATGACATTTTCTGACCCTCAGACGTTGAAAAATGTATCTATCTTTCGTAAGACCAAAATGAAATAAAAAGTTAGACTGCTTCTCCACCTGGTTCATTTTAAACATTTATAGTTTTTAATTTGATATACCTGACTATCCAGTCCAACTGTAAACAGCATGGCAAAAAAGAGGACAGCCCATAACTGTGGAACAGGCAGTCGGGTCAGGGCTTCAGGATACACCAAGAACACCAAGCCGGGGCCTGTCAACAGATATGTTAATGTTCACCTATCTATCTTACCTAACGTAAGTAAGATCAGCTGAAGGTTTGTGTCAACATAGTTTATAGAAAGGTTCATGCTTCAACTTACATGTTATATGTTATATTTTTCTATATGTTTACTAGTCAAAACTTCACATTAGTTTTGAGGGGTATGTAATCCCAGTGGATGTCTGTACAATTACCATCTGATATGGTTTGGTTTTATAATGGTTAACGGCCTATTAACAAAAGTGACCATTTAAAGACGTCTTCTCCATCATGCGAGGTAAGTACGTTTTTAGTGTTTTCTGGAGGCAGTTAAATTTCCATGTTACCGTCTTTTATCAGTGTATTAATATTCATTACATGTATATCTACCTTGTTGCCAGTTAAATCTTACCCATTGCATAACTAATGTATTATAACGCCCATTATACACTTGTATTATAAACTTTGCGATTGAATGAAGAGTTCAGTTATTTCCATTGTGACGGTCTTCATGGCGTTGCATATATATTGGGACTGAAATTCATTTAAACCTCAATGACGATGTGGAGGTTCATTGGTTACAACCATATTGCATACAAAACCACTTACTAAATTTTCCTTACAACATACAGATCTATTTATTTGCAGTGCAATTATAACAGCATTAGGGTGCTAGCTTTGCAAACTCCGAGCCAAAAACTAAAAGTATGGTTCAGAATAAGTGATTTTATCATTTATTGCTGTTATCGTTTCCCGCTGATACCGAGGGAGGTATGGTTTTATTTCGTCCAGTCTTTTTTGTAAAGAGAGAATTAAACCTGACATAGACTTTCTTAAGAAATACATAGATAGCTTATGCAAGCGAAAAATATTTCTCTGCTTGGTTGGTAACTGCAAAAAGGTATTTTACAGAGATTCTTCTTTGGGGTTCCCTTACTTTTTTCGGATTATTTCGCATAAAATATTGTTCAAATGACACGATAATGTAATGTTTTCATAGCCTTATGACAGCCGCTTGTAGTTGTAATGTTCATATAGTGTGTGGCATGTTGTTTTAACAATCGTTTTAAAATTGCTGAAGCCTCATCATTGAGGGCTATAGTAAGAAGACGTCGTAAAACATATTGCCATCTTGTCCAAATACATATTTCTCAACACTCCACTCATTTATTTTTATCTAAATCGTTTTTACTTTAAATCAATGACATATTCTGAAATGCAAAACTATATCTTAGGTTATCTGAGACGAAGTCTCATGTGACATAATACAATTGCTGTTTGCCCGTCGTCATACATCGTAAATAATTTTATATTTTTGACTTTTCAATAACCAAGATTTCCAGGGCACTGATATTAGATTGTTTCAAGATCGTAGGGGTCAAATGTGATAAGATCTTTAAATGATAACTTCTCAATTTAAGCCATGGGATGGTAGCTTGCTTGTATCGACATGGTTGGAAAGATTGACTCCAAGGGGTTGATTGATGGTACCAAATATATTTTCATTGCCCAGAAAAGATACCATCAAATGCTCTGATGAACCATTTCGCTTTAATATAACCCGCCACCGTTGCACCTGTGTAAAAAGATATGCTACAGTGTTAAGCGATAAACAAGTGCTGACTGTAAGTATCATAAATTTTGGAGACAGCCAGTTCCGCTAAGTACAATGTCATCAGCCACATATTACTTACGCGTTCGCGCGTGAATAGTGATATAAAGATAACCTACCGCTGTCATCCGCTGCGTGTTCTATGAGTGTGTTGTATTGTGTTGTAGGTGTAGGTCCGCCCCCCTCGACCTCCCCTCGCTATGTTGTTATCTTCGAAAAAACAATCATATGTACAAGAGCTCAGATGTCGGTTTGTTGTTCTATAACCTGTAGAGGTCTACATATAAATAGTTTTTACAATGTGACCGAATTATACACAACATATACATACGTACGCACTATCTCGTATGTAGATATCCAGTATTGTTTATCTATTTTAATTGCTCAGCCAATTACCAGTGCAAACTCGTCATCTGTCTGAAAACCACTATGCTACAGTATATTTTATTTTGTGATACTTAACGATATTTCAATGGATTGCTGAACATTAATGATATCTTGATAATCATGCAAATCATCTTATTTGTATCGTGTTAGTATTGGTATTGTAATTAGTCTTTTAAAAACATATAAAATGGTCTGATATATGTATTTTACACGGCATTTTGTAAACTAGATGCAAGTCTTAACATGTTTCCCTGCCTAAATAATAAGAAATACATTATCATACATTATCAAATTATTATGAAACCACGTGCGTTTCAATGCCATCGTTTTTGAAAATACCAATAAGTAAGCACAATCATAGTTCAAACACAAATTCAATTATACTTAGGTTAATTATAACTGAATAAAGATTTTCACGGAGAATATGACATAATAGCAGATTTATAATTGAATAAATGATCAGGAGTTGGTTTTGTGTCCATTTTTCATGGAAAGTTTAAATCCATTGTGGGACAGTATCTATGATAACAACTTACTCACGTACGTCATGTGGACGGTGTTCCAATATCAAGGGATATGCATATCTAAAACCCTATCATAAAGTTATATGAGAATATAGCATAGGTTCGGTCATGCTACACCAGCCTTGTCAGAGGAATGTTTGTATTAATAACTCAACTCTACTATTGTTAGATAATCAGATGTTTTAATCTTACTTACCAGATTCTGCTAGTTCTTCAATGGTAATATTAGCTTCTCGAGCAAGAAATCCCAAGATCGAAAATACTACTAGTCCACATAGGAAGTTGGAGAAAGCGTCTACACTCACGGTGATAACAGCATCCCTGTCAGATACAGTCGACATATCCATTAGTAAGTAAGATAATAAGAGGCCCATATGATCTGTATCGCTCACCTGGCTTTTCCTGACCGAAATTGTTTCATTAAAACTAAAGGAAAGGGAATTATATATATCCAAACACACAACTATCTATTTTCTAAATAAACCACGATCCTCAGTCCCTCAGAGGTCAGCTAAACATTCATGCTTCAGACCAAGTTGAGACAAATCCATGCAATTTCTTCTGAAGAAAGTTTGTTAGAATTTGTTCTCATTCCCATTTTTGGGCCAAGCCCCTCCGGTTGCCGTGGGCAGTGACCATTTATACAAAACTTATTTCCCTTCACCCTAGAGTACTTTATTCCAAATTTGGTCAAAATCCAATCGTTCTTACAGGAGGATAACGATTTTCATAAATTAGTTTTTGGGGTTTTTTTTCTATTTTTTCCCCGCTACTACGGCTTCAGCGTCCAAGACCAAAATTTTATTCAAAAATAATTTTCTTTATTCAAGAATGCGTCGAACTAAATTTGCGTAAAATCCAATCATTTTAAAAGGAGTGAATTTTACAGAATTTGTTCATTTCTCCTTCTGGAACTCGTCGTTCCCAAATCAGAAAAACACGACCAATCGTTTTATAGAAATTGTTTTCCCTTTTCCCAGGAATGTTTTAGACAAAATTCAATGATTCTTTCACGCTTAACGAGGAGGTCTTTTTATCTGCAAAATATGCCCACTTTGTCCCGATACTCGAGCCCGAGAATTATCATTTGTACAGAATTTGTTCTCGTTGTCTCAATGATGTTCCGGTCAAATTTACTCAGTCATCAGCGACAGAATGCACAGGAATTCGATTATCTCAAATTTTCAAGCTTACCGAAATAAACGGACGGACGGATGCACGACGGATGCCTGCGGTATGGCATTAAGCTCACTGGTCCTGTAGATCAGCTGAACTAAACATGATACACTAAAAACTCGAAATCAGATGCGCCTTGTTTTCGTTAATAGTAAATAAATGCAGTTTTTTTATGTATGAATTTGCAGGCTAATTTTTCAAGATATGCTTGCTTTCTAATTTCAACAAGTTTTATTGTCAAATTGACAAATGAATTGGGCAGCAGGCATAGCCTATTCAAGCCCTCTCCAAACATGGTAACAAACAGTGGTACAAACATAGACATACAAAAGTAGACATTTGAACATATACAAACATATATAAATAAATCAGAATGCTGAAGTAGGGGAGACAACTACTTAAATCTATTCCTCATGTAATTCCATTTGATTTCATTTTCTAACCTTTCACCATAATTTTTTAAATAAAAACATTACATTTAATTCAGGAAGAGAAGAAAATTATAAGAGATTAATGAATAAACATTTAGTGGTATTAAATTACCTCACCCAACAGATACATGCCAGAAAAGTCCATGTATCACACAAGGCGATCCACTGATGCATTTGGAAATTCAATCCCACCAAATAGTTTAATTTATGTCTATTTGCAGGTTAGAGATCTGTGTTATTCAATAAAATTTCTTCAAATTTCTAATTCTATTCATTATTCAATATTTTGAGTAGACAATATAACTGGTCTTATGAAAACTAAACCCTCCCTAAAGAACAAATATTAATGTGTAAGGTACCTTATTTGGAAATCAGATGACAATGAATGAATGAATGAATGAATGAATGAATGAATGAACGAATTATAATGAATGAATGAATGAATGAATGAATGAATGAATGAATGAATGAGTTAGAGATTTTGGTAAGACATACTAAGTCTTCTAGATATAATCTGAGACAGATAGAAGGATATGTTTATTTTCATTCTTATTGCATTTCTCACAACCATTTAGAATGACATCAATAGTCAAGTGGATATGAACTTCGTGTGATATATTCTGAAAAAGTATAACACGATGTTGATTAAAGTTTCAACAATCAAGAAAGTAGTGAGATGCTGTTTCGAGTCTAAATCCACAAGAGCAAGCCGAGGACTCAGCTAGGCAGTTTTTCTGAAGGTCACAATTTAGGTTGCTGGCCTCATTTCTCAACTGACAGAGAATGAAATTGGTTTCTCGATTTCCAAAGTACTTAATAATATCAGTTGTTTTTGTGTTAAGGTTTTGGACAGGTGTTATAATTTGTTTTAAACTGATAAGTAGAACGAATATTTTGAAGATCCCAAGCTATGTTATTAATTTCATTAAACATGGATGGGAAGAAGCTACTTTAATAGTTGACAGTTCGACAGAGAGGAGAATCAAATAATCTAATAGATCTAAAGGGATATCTATCAAATGTGGGGTCATGAAGATAAGATTCAATAATTTCTTTCAAGTAGTATGGAGATTGATCATTCATGATTTTATACGTCAGCATCATTTTATGCTGCTTTCTCCTACTATTCAAGGAACCCAACCTATTCTTTATACAAGTTATTGTGGTAGGTGACTTTACGCAGTCCTGTTATTATTCTTGTCGCCTCTAATTGCACTGATTCTAAGAGATCTTTTGAATTTCGTGAACAATTATCCCAGACAACATCAGTATATAAGTATTGGCCTAATATATGATATATTTATTGTACTTAATGAATGTCTGTCCAATTTATACTTCATTATTCTTAACACATTAATTCTTTTATAGGCCTTTTGATAAATGAATGTCAGACCGAGATGTTTATGTATTCGACTGACAGTAACAGGTTCATCATAAAAATATACATTTGGGTGATGGATATTCAAATTTTTTTAGAGAAAATGACAGATTCAGTTTTGTTTGGATTAGATTTCATGTTTCATCTATTAGCCCAGAGTTGAATATTGCTGATAAGTTGTGTAAGTTCAATTGGATCATTATCTTTTACAGCATACAGGGTAGCGAACAGTTTAATTACATTAGAAACACAATCAACAATATCATTAATATAAAGTAAAAACAATTATGGACCGAGCCCTGTGGTACCCCTGCACCAACAGACTTAGACGTGGATAAATATCCCAGTTAAGACTCTTTTTTTCTATCATCTAAAACATTCCTAAACCAGCAGTCAAAATAATAATTAGATAAATTTCGTAATTTACATGCATCACTTAATTTTAGAATAGCGTCAAGTACATGTGCATTTTCTGAACCGTGCCAGTATTTGAGTGAAACTTAAACGTGACACAAAGTAATTTCCTTTTGATGCCGTATACTTGAAGTTTATACAATAATCCTCCATGCCAGACTCTATCAAATGCCTTGCTTATGTCACAAAAAACAAACCTGAATTCTTAACCTTGGTCTTAACATTGTACAATAGTGTGATGTACTGAAAGAAGTTGATTTACTGCAGAGTCCTTAGGCATAAAACCAGATTAATGTTTTGAAATAACTTCATGATAGCTAGATAATTAAACATGTATTTAGATATATTTTTTTCTATAATCTTACTAAAACATGAAGTTATAGAGATTGGTCTGTAATTAGATATTTCATTTGTTAAACCTTTTCCTTTATAAATGGCATTAATATTGGCAGTTTTCTAGCTAAGGGGGATAACTCTTGTTTGTAGTGTTTTGTTATATAGCAAAGTTATAGGAAGAGAAATAGAATGTTGAAGTTCCTTGATTATCTTTGGTACCATACCATCAGGCCCAGCTGGTTTAGTACTATTTAAGAGAAACAATTGATCACACATCTTGATGTGTTATTGATATGTTTTCTAAAGACTGCGGACAGTTAATTTCTATATCAGGGACAGGTTCAATTTTCAAAACAGTTTTGGCAATTTCCACCAACTAAATGAGAAAGTATCTTTATTAGCTAACAATTTATGCATATTTTCTAGATAATTACTCTTGGCCTCCCTAATTTTACTTATGACTTCATTCCTGTTATTTCTATAGTTTTCCCAGTGGCATGGTAAGTTACTAGACCTTGTTTTTCTATGTACCCTATTTCTTTGTCTAATTTTAGTTATTATGTCTTGTGTCATCCACTTTTTATCTCTAGGTCTTACTGTAATATTTCTACTAGGAATACATTCAGATATCTGTTGATTGATAGCATCACAAAGAGTATTATTAAATTCATTACTGTCTTGCAATTCTGAGAGGCTTGTTTTCGAGTTATATAAAGATTGTATTGTTAAACAACAAAAGATTCACTAACAGTGCAATTACTGATTATGAAATTGTTGTGGAAACCGATAACATTGAACAATAAACAGTTACCATGGGACTTTTCTAAAAAGGTCATTCAATCCTTATCTAAATAGATACATTGTTGCTTGACACTTTTGGACACCAGAGTGATCAGGATACAGAAATCAGAGAATTTGTGAGGACAACATAACGAGTTTTATGTTAAACATTAGTTATGAGAGCGCTTGCCGAAGTTATTAATCCTACCGGAGACAGTTGCCATGGAACTTGTGAAAACTGGCCAAAGTGATTATTCCACCCCATGTCGGTCCAAGAGAGTAAAACACTTGTAATGCTGCTTCCAGCCATACCTAGAAAAATGACATTATAAATATGTTATTGTTTAAAACAAAACAACTGTTTTTGGCAATTTCAATTACTGGCAGATTTCCCCCATTTGTTTATTTATTTACTTATTTTTATTCTCTTTTTTTCCCTTTATTTGTCTTGTTCAATCCACGTTTGTAATCTCGCATCCATTTTCAGTAACATACCTGTTACTCCTACGTTTGCTAATCTGAAGGAAGTCTCAAGAATAATTGCATTCATTTTTTATATTTTCGCCACTCAGTATAGTGAAAGGTCACGTCAATCGAAATGTTGTTTTTCACGGCAATAAAAGATACCTCTTTTAATGCTTTTAGATAATAATTAGTAAAATTTAACATTGTATCACCAATGACCAAAGAGATCGAATGCTTCTTTTTATAAACTACACTTATCAAAAAGCCTGAAGCAGAATAAAACAAAAGGCCCACAGGCAGTTAAAATGGTTATTATTTATCATTACCTTCTTGTACAACACACCTGTACCAAAGATTATACAAAAGACACACACATGAATAGCATATTTGCATTATTAAGAGTGAGATACAGTAGAGCCACACAATAAATTAAACTGCATCATACAGCTGTTTCGTCATTCTAGGGCTCCTCAGTGATGCTAAGGGCCTAAATTTGAAGCCTAGGGGCGAGTAAGGAAAATTCAATGTGATCAAAAGAAAAGTCAAAATCTAGACGGGGAGGTGCAGCAGCCCCACGATAAGATACATTTCATAATTTACATACATCACTTAACTTTATAATAGCGTATAGCACATGTGTATTTTCTGAACCGTGCCACTATTTGAGTAAACTTAAACGTGGCAAACAGGTTACGGCAAACCTCGGGGACTTTGAGTCCACCAACAGTGTCTACCACCTTCTATCTTTAAGACTGTACAAAAGATACACAAGTGAATAGCACCTTTCCATTATTAGGAGTGAGATACAGTTGAGCCAAACAATGAATTGAACTGCATCATACAACTGTTTTGTACTTCTATGACTCGTCAGTGATGCTAAGGCCTTAGAGTTTGAAGCACAGGAGTCGACTAAGTAAAATGAAAAGTGATCAACAAAAAAGTCGAAATCTAGACGTGAGGTGCAGCAGCCCCATAATTAGATTATCAAATTTCATGATCATGTTTAACACCAAGAAAAGATCCTAACACTTATCCGTGGACGATGGCATAACGTAAAACTGACTTATGTCTCCCAATAATGTTCATACCTCTTTTCATATCCAAACAAATAGTAAAAGATAAAACGGGAAACAACGCTTGCGTGCATACATCATTTTGGATTTTTATTTTCTCATTACACAGTAACAGATTACTTATTCTCCATACTACGATTTATTTTTCTAATATTACTTCTTTTTCATTTTCTCAAGTTTTTATATCCAAATATGATGCTCATCATTCGCCGTGTTCTTAAATGCAAGAAAATCATAAAAGTACGTTAAATGATATGCGTGTTTACAGATATGACGCAATGAACTATCATTTTAACAATAACATATTTGACAAGTTGACAAGGTTTCCTTTCATAATAACAAATACCCATACCCATTTCCATGATAACCTGAAAATTTACACCTGAATAGATATTTCAGAAGTATTGTAATAAATGTTCATTGATTATATTACGGTATGACAGAAATTACACTTTCAGCTTTAACTCACGCGGTGAATATTTTGGTGAAATACGTCAAAATATTAGCCACACTCGTGAAAAGTATCTGACATGGCTGAATACACTGTTAGATATCGTTTTTATAACATTGATTCGTGACAGCAATTACTAGTAAAGATATATCATTTGATAGAAGTACCTGGAAATGGAGAAGTCTAGAGAAGTCAGGTGTGAGGTACAGTAGAACTCCATCTAATGAACCAGCCAAACATAGACTCCGCACCAGTATCACCAACAGCAGAACGAACGGTGCAGTGGCAGTCACATAAATGACCTAAACAGTGATGAATGTTGAAATATCAATAGAAGTAAACCTCTTCGAAAATTACATTGAAAATAAAAGAACAAAGTAAGCGAATTCTTGTTTTAAATATCATGATATCTGTTTTAAAGGAGCAGACAATAATCACATTATTTTTGGTTGACACTATAACCTAAATGTTATATTTGAATTTTATTTTTCATGTTTGACTTTGCCAGAGAAGTGATCACTTTTCATATTTTGATATTTCATTCGTAATTAGTAATTATGGTGCTTGTGCCTTCCATTCTTTTTCAGCAGGTGTTTCTTGAATGTTATTTCTTGTCTAACTATTTTTCAATTATGGATATCAAATGGCCTTTTCTATCCTACAATATTTATAATGTTATCAAAACTAAGATATATACTACAAATAATAGCATATTTTTTTCTGCTAATACTGCTGTAATTTGCTTATAACTAAAATTCACGTCATCGCTAAAACATAAACAAATCAATTTGAAACATTCAAATCGATTTAATTACTTGGAACGTTCAATGCCATTACCTTCCCAGCAGAATGTACCCCTTTTATTATGCTAAGGAATATAGATGCAAAAGAGAAAAACAAAGCCAGTATGATATGCCACTGCGGGATTCCCCAGTCGTCTATTCCTCTTGATGCGTTTAATAGCTTGTATCTATAACATGTAAAAGATTGATATTAGCTGGCTTAGAGAATGCTGAATATTCATATCTTGATCAAGCTGATACATAATCCGATCCGACCGGATCATATCTAACCCGTGATTAGTAAAATTTTCACATTATCACTTCACAGTTTACCATCTAGCAATATCAAGTTCTTAAAAAAAATCACGTTATCCATTGGAAAAAATAACGTATTTGTTTCACTTGAACATACGTAGAATACTTACCGCCAGAATTCGGTGGCCGCTGTAGGGTAGAAACCTTTACTTTCCTCAGCTGATGATCCATTGAGTAAATAAGAAACGTTCCATAGTGTGGTATTAGATGCCTCAAGACCGGACCTAAGCACTACACATTCATCTGTGTTCCATTCATTGTTACAGGTGGACCAGGGCTGTGTCGGGAAAAATGAGTAACCCAAATACATCAGCACCCAGGCCACGATCAACCCGTAGTACCACGTGCAAATCATCGTCATCAACACCATGGAATATCCTATACCTGAGCGAGCAATGTGTTTTTGTCGTATAAATGTTATCAACAGGTCTGTTACATACGATCTATGAACGTGTATTACATAATATTGCAATGTAACAAATTTTCCAACGTTTTCCTTTTACAATATATTGAAGAACAAAGTGATAGAAAAATAAATTAAGGTTATTTAAATTGAACTTACCTTCCAGCAGTGGACAAAGTGACCAGGAAACTAGTGCACTTTTACCGGAAAATTGGCCCAGACACAGCTCCATGTAATACATAGGAAATCCACACAGCAGCGTAAATATGAAGAAAGGAATGAGGAATGCACCTAGAGGATGGCCATTAAGTTGTGTCAATAGAACCTTTTTCCCCCTTAAATGGCGAGGTACTTATGTGTTTACATGTATAAACTCATAAAGTGAGTAAGCTGTGAAACTTCAGTATGCTATAAGTGTAAAAAGAAAGAGCGAATGCGATGCGGAATATAACAGTGAGAGACGAGAACCATATGTGTGACGGATGAATGACCTCCTCCGTGGGGACAATTAATGCACAGAGGCTGACCCCAGGGCCCCAACCCTGGCAGCTCTCTTTGATATTTATTTATTTATTTTTAAATAAAAACAGAAAAAAAGCAATCAAAAAAGAACCTTGATATGCAGTCGAGTTTTTATCATCAGCATAAATGCAATCAAAATTTACTTTTGGGTGAAGCTTGTTACACACCTATCCGGTAACTGATATATGTTTGTGTATTAACTTAATTATTTCTTAACAAGTTTGTCGGCACCCTCAGTGCTCGAGGATGCCTTCTCCGATGGTTCCCGTATTGGGGTCATCGAAGGTCGAAAGAATAGGGAATTCTCTTTTCAAGTACATATATTTGGAGGGGATTGAAAGTGGTGATCCTGCAGAGTAGTGGGGATATCTTTTAGCCAGGGGACATTAAAGACCAAGAGATTTTGCTGACCTCGTTGCAACATTGGGAACTTTTCTTTTTTCTGTTGGTTGACAACATCTTCGTCGAGTTTGATGGTAAGATCTTCCAACAAACTATTGGCATAACCATGGAAACTAACATTGTCTCTTTGTTGGCTGACTTGTTTGGTTGAATTTAGCGAAATCAGATCTACTGATGAGGTTTTGTCGTTAGATAACAAGAAATGTATCGAACTTGTCCATCGTATATTCCCAGCAAAATTGGAAATTATGGACACGCTAAACTCTTAAACAGCAGTTGCTTATCATAATTTTTATCTGCAATGAAATCGTAATTTTTAATGTTTTCCATCAAGCTGTATGATAAGCATAATGATTTCGATTTCCCCTATAGTGAATTTTCCATTTGTGGATAGCAACATCCTCCGTTATTATATACTTTGTTCTCAATTGAGAACGGGTCGGGGATCCTGCTTGTGGCCTTTATCAGTATTCGTCAGAGAGGTAGCACTTTAGAGACAATATCAAAGTCACTGTCACAAGGAGGCTTACTCGAGCATTTATTTTAATCAGAGCCTTCACGTGCACCCGCCACATGAACCCCCATGTACTCATCTCGCCTACATAGGGACCTTCGTCGTAGCTATTCATAGCACGCTATGAAATATATAACCAAACCCTCTCATCACCCGTGTTCAGGTGAACGCTCATTATTTTGTCATACACCGGTAATCCAGAACAATGATATAGCAATAGGGCACACAAAGGAGATATTCTACCACATTACTGTATAGGTGTATGGTCTTGTCGCATAGCTACACACGTCGTTAACTATGTGAAGTGAAATATACACAACAAACAATAATTGAAGGTTTAAACAATTGCATGTTGACAAATACCGGCACGGTCGAAATTCCAGACAGACCGTCCGAATTCCCACACACGGTTCTTTACTTAACATGCCCATTTGTAATTATGTGAAGATTTATTTTTCTTTTCATTGTCATCGCTTCCAGTTTGCTTTAACAGTCACGCCATCATTATGTTGCATAAATATAATCGATAGATAAGTAAACAAAATACAGACAGGTGGTCACATACATGCAAGTTTTAACGGAAACATTTAGAATATGATTGAATTTTCAAGCAAGGTAAATCGTGTTGATTAAAGGTTACATTACTATTTGCAAACAATAATGGTGGTATACACTACCTCCTCCATTCTTCATGCACACGTACGGAAACCTCCACACACTACCGAGGCCAACCGTATACCCGATTAACCCGAGGGAGTATTCCACCTTGTTTGACCAGACCTCCCTTTTTGGTAAATCATTGACCACATTATTCCGATCATCCAGGAGTTCAAGCCTTACTCCTTCCTCTGCTGACCGCGGTTCAGACATCCCTACTCCAATCCTGCCTGATCTACCACGGAATGGGTGAGAGTTAATAATCTGTCAGTTTGTCTGACGTCATTTTCACGGGCTATAAATCCTTTATCATCTCCATAGTCTTACACACATTTACTCAAGTATACTTAAAACAACATTAAATACAATGCAAAGTTCAGATGTCCAAGACCAAAAAAAGTATATATACTGAAAGGATAAAGAAACGCAGGGTAATATTTATTTCGATATTTTGAAAAAATAAAGTGAAACTTTGTGGATTGAGTAATTAGGTCATATTACACCTTGTCATGTATCGAAAATTTAGTCACGGTACAGTGCGCAGCTCTGGTAAATGGAGGAATGAAAAAACAAGAATCTCATGCACCGTGTTGTTCTGGTCTCATGCAGCGTTGGTCAAGTCACTCTTCGTTAGTCATTATACAGACCAACTGCTTCCCTAAAATTAATTTGAGAATTTGATTCGTTTTAAGAATGGTACGACTCACAGATGTTCAGAGGGGTCAGGCCATTCAGATGCTGATGCAAGGACAGCTGCAAAATCAGGTTGCTAGGCACTTTGGTGTTAATGTTTCCACCATAGAACGTCTTGTAAGACGTCTTCGGGAAACTGGGCGATTGGCCGATCGACCTAGGTCAGGACGTCCGCAGGTTTGGGGGCGGTTCAGTAATGGTGTGGGGAGGAATCTCACACGGGTTAAAATCACAATTGGTTGTTATTGATGGCAATTTAACAGCAGCTAAGTATAGAGATGAGATCCTCCGACCCCAATGTTATCCCTTTCTTACAGCAGCATAATCTAACCCTCCAGCAGGATAATGCTAGGCCCCACCTAGCAAGGATTTGCCAAGTCTTTCTGGCCAACAACAACATTCAACCACTAGATTGGCCGCCATATAGCCCTGATTTGTCCCCGATCGAGCATCTTTGGAACCAGGTGGATAGACAGGTTCGAAAGCGCCAGCCACCCCCTGCTATTCGGGAGCAGTTGACCAGAGCTCTAATTGAAGAGTGGGACAACATCCCCATAAGACGGATTAACGCTCTCATAAACTTTATGACCAGAAGAATAAGGGCCGTGACCACAGCAAACGGCGGACACACAAGATATTGATGACTCAGTTCAATTTCAATTTCAAAATCCTATGGGTCCATTCAACTTAATCGTTAGTACCTCTTAACTAATTGTCAGATGCAAAATACAGACTTTGGAAATGTTTAAGCTTTAATTTATCTGTAAGTATACAAAATTTCGTTTTAAATGAAGCCCGATATCATACTTAATTTCTGGTTTAAAGTTCACCCTGCGTTTCTTTATCCTTTTAGTATATATATATATATTTCGTTTTACTGAACGTCTTTCATCCTCATGCATTATTTAAGTTTATTTCTAGTCAGTCTGGTTGTTGGCTTGCTGCTAAATCATCAAGAACAACTCAACAAATTAACTAAAGTTAAATGTAGATATTTATTGAATGTTTAAATGTTCTGAAAAGTAATATGTACAAGCCAACCGATATTAACTTTTATCCCAGACCTCGGTCTCACTTTAAGTACAAATCTATCATGAATGGTATCCTTTGATTTCACAATGACAATAATGAGAAGATTGTTGAACATGATGTTTTGTATCTGTTATATTCGTTAATTAAATTCCATTATTCATTTAATAGTATCCGAGAGTTCCTAATCACTTTTAGTTCTCCCGATTCCCCTAATACTCCTAATTTCTCCTAGTACTCATATACAACTACCAAATCTGTTGGTGTACATAATTACGCAAACCGTGTTTCGCGTACACGAAAATAAAGACCGATACTTAAGATATTGGTAATTTTTGCGATAGAAACAGGCATACATATTGATTCTTAAGTGATAATAAGTGGTTTTGTCTGTCAAAGTGTGGTCATGGAGGTGGGGTGTTGTTACAGTGTTATCCATATTTGCTTGTTATACCAAATTACGTTCATCATACAAAACACGTTAGGTCCCTATTTTTGTTATTATCATTATCTGTTTTGATCAAAAGTCAAAACGACACCTTTGATGTTTTACCGAAAGTAAGACATAACTCTGTATAATGAATGCAAACATAATGTCTTAAACTTTTTTGTCCTTATACTCTTTGTTATTTTATGTTGTTTGAAAATGACAATTTTAATGGCGTTTTGAAATAAATTCACGAGTGAACTACTTTTATTGACTGCGCGATTCGGTTGATAGTGCAAACAATTTCAACTTTATTCTGGTTGCTGTGGTTCTTCTCTTGGGTATAACTCAAGAAGACTTGAGTAGAATGCAACTAAATTTAGAATGATTTATTACCATAAACCAGATTTCAAATTCGTGAATTCCGACTTACTTGGTGAATCACTGTCCCGGATTTTTAAGGCCCGAGATCAAAAATTGTTTCATGATTTTGGAAAATTGACTACTTGTATTAAAATTACAAAAAATAAAACGCTATCCAGAAATAAAGTCTTTAAAAGATTAATTCTAGAAGATGGTCAAATAAAGGATTTGTGTCAGTTTGGAACATCAAAAAAAAAACAAACAAGCAAACAAAACAAAAACAAACAAACAAACAAAAATACTGGTATGTAAACAGGTTAAGATGGCATGTTGTTATATTCCTGTAGTTTCTGAATGCTTACAATGTATACTGATAAAAGTCATTGATTACTATTTTTTATCAATTATATGATACCTATAGTAAAAACACTTTATTACAAAACAACTACTGAAGTGTTTTCCAAAGACGATCTTATTTTAAGATGATAAAAAATATGATAATAAAAAAATTAACAAGTATAAAATCTCTAACCAAACAATTAAGAGATCCACTGGGAAACTTGATGACAAGTCGATAATTTTATTACTCAGCGTTTAACATTGTTTATATTAATTCGTAACAAGAAATAGCATCAAAAATGATAAAGTACAACACTGTAGAACAATTTTCGGTCATTAAATGTCATACAGAATAGTTCGTTGGCCAAGCACACACGGTATGACGATATTGACGATGTCTGTGAAGACAACCAATCCGAACACAACTGTTAACACCCCAATCCCTATATAACCCATAAAGGTAGCGCTAACTCTATCGTCTGAGGCCGATGTGATTCGTCTCTTTGCGGAGGACAATGTCTTCTTATCAAGCTTCAATTCCGCTGTTATATTCTTAGTGAGTTCCAGAATAATTTCCAGGTTCGCTACTGATGATAGTTGATTACTGACTGTTTTCTGACAATCGGTACACGAGCATGACACGCCAGTTGTTAATGTCTGCGAGCTCTGTGTGGTTTCTTTTGGAATAGTGGATGCTATGTCCGTTGTCGACGATGTTTCCTTCGTGGGTCCTTCAAAAGGACAAAACATTTTTTCTTTGTATACAAAAACCGGCTTTATTTCAAGAATTATTATATCGCTCTGTAATATGAATGAAAAGGTTTCATATATTACTATATACACATTATATACAGACAACTAAAGGCATGTACTATTAATCGTAAAACTGATTTTCTTACCTCCTTGGCACTCAAAGGTAACGTTGAGATACTTTTCAACATCTGGACACGAATCCTCGAACACGGTAACAGAGGAAAGGATCTCACAGGTATTGGACCCCTCGCAGTACTCAAAGATTACTTGATAAGTTTCAGGTGTCACACATGACGTTACAGTTGTATTACCGCCGCACGGTGAAGCATCCGTTCGTCCAAAGTTGGCGTCGATCACATGGATTGAAAATCTGCTGGGACATTCCATTGGGACATAATCACCCTCACAGGCGATCAGACTGGTCGCAGCCTCTGTCACTGGATATTTAAAAATAAAATATGATTGTAACTTTTTTAAGCAATACACAGAGAAAATCTCACATTGATAGTAAAAGCTAACTGCATTGATGTGGATATCTTTTAATTTTTATCGAACTTTTCAAAGATTTACATTCCTTTATCCTTGTTCCAGTGTTTACAAATCTTAGCTGATTTGACATCCAGGAGCCTATTCCCAACACCACGATTTCCGTTGAAGATGCTGACACTGGACTTGCAGCACATGGTTATGAGAAATACTGGTTGATAAAGACTATGGGGAAGTTTTATGTTGGTTATTAATGATCTCATTAGGAAATGTTCTATATTATGATGCGATATGCTGTGTGGAATGTTCATAAGGACGTCTCCTGTTTTCCCCAACGTTAAAAATATTTTCACTTGAGAACGTGGCGGCTGCCACAAATCGAGCAGAAGACTCTTATCTTTCCGTAACACATGGTCTGATTCTCATACCTGGTTTTGTTCTGCAATTTTGAATGGTCCCGTGTAAAATTTTCATTCCTTCATATTTTGACCTCGATTCATCGATTCTGATTTGCATTTTTAAATCACCTGACTCGAAGAGTCAAGATGACCTACTGCTTTCGTGCATTATCTATTGTCGAGTGCATGGTCCGTAAACTTTTCCTTTAAAACACTTCTCCTATTTATTACCTATGCGGATTTCAATCAAAGGACCGAAACGTCATTGGGAATGGGGAATCATGTCTTAAATTCAGAAAGTTGATTCGACCCCTAGGATCTGGGGATAGGACCCCAAAACGGGTAGTCAGACTTAAATTGATTTCATTCAAACGGGTAGTTAGACTTGAATTGATTTCATTCAAATTTGATCTGTAGGGAGGGCTGCAAATATTTCTTAAATTCAGAAAGTTGATTCGACTTCTAGAGAATTATGGGCGGGGCCCCAAGGGGAAATTAGACAATATTTTACTTTATAAATCAACTCATTCTTAATGGTTTCATAGATTTCAACCAAAATTGGTCTGAAAACATTATTTAGAGTGGGGAAGCATCTCTTGAATTTAAAAAAATGATTCAACCCCTAAAAAGGGAAGTTAGTTAATAATTTGCTCCAAAACTCTACTTCTTTATGCTTGGGTAGATTTCACCAAATTTGACCTAACACATTATCAGAGACATGCAATGATATGAAACGAGCATGACGTGATCCTGAGATTATCCTGACAAAATCTTATTTATTTTACTTTGGTCCAAAATTCAACATAACTAATTGAAAACAATTAGTCTGAAGTACTTGTTATGTGTCATTCGCGACAATGAGAAAAACATTTTGGAGTTTGATTTGTTAAGAAAAAAAAAAGATAATTTGTTGTTATCTTTTAGTCCCATCAAAACTTCAAAACTTAAGAATAGGTAACTTTAGTAACCATTTTGTAGCAGATTATGCATCTGTATTTTTATGAACTGAACATAACATTTATGAGTTGCTGATACTTTCAAGTAAAGTTCAAAATTTCACTTCATCAGATTTGTCGGACAGCCATAAGTCTGTGGTTTGTCCATGACCGTCTTGTACTTAAAGTTTGAGATCGTAACATTGAACGTAATATTACTTACTCAGATTGACCAAGGTTTACATAGTGGGTATTATTTATGAAACAAAATCCGTTTACTATTTCGGAAAACTTGGTCCTTCTAAGCTTCCACTGGACAATTTAACCCTCGTTTTATCGATTTCTATTCTTAACCAAAATTATGCTTGAATGACTCTCTATTGTTGTTCCTTGGTAATTTTACATTGTTTGACAGATATAAACTTATATTCATATCGTCGATAAAATATAAGAAAAACATTCCTTTGATTTGTAATGCAAAAGAGTTAAGTAAATATCCACTCTTAAGTGTAATATCGTCAACAAATTAATCACACAATAACTCCCCTGTGTGTGCTTATTCGATTACGTATAACACAACTCCTGTTTGTGTTAATTGTCAAAATGATATTTATATAGAACCTCTTGTTGGTATGTGGTATTAATGATAGTCACATCAACTCTTGTTTAAATATCGTCATCATAGCATCTTCGTGAATATGATAGTGACAAAGACATTCTGTGTTATATCGCCAATGATATGTCAGCATGTACTCTCGCTAATGTTGTTAATGATTATTAATTATGAATTACATTTTAAATTCATACCTAGACAAGCGAGCAGGTATAGATGAAACAAAAAACTTGATGAAGTATGACAATTGTTATTGTTTGAATATCAATATATCCCTACCAACCCTACCAAATACCATCTGTCGGCTACTTTACTTTTTCACGATTGAAATTTTCGCGGCCATGTAATGCCCCACGAATAAGGGAAATATCTTCTTGTTTAAATGGTCTTAGATGTTACAAACAGGAAAATAGATATTTGATCAAAATAACATTCTTGGTACAGTTTAATATAACAAAACGAACAGAAAAAAACCCTGTCATAACGTGTATTTTACTATTTTACTTGGCTACTCTAGAATGATCTTATTAAGTTTGAAAATCGGTTTCATTTTACATATTTATTTTTTTAACTTTCAAAACTACATACACAATGCATGACTTCTTTGACGAGAGGGTTCATGCGCGTCAGCCGTTTCCCCATTCTCCGTTTTATTTAAGATCTGTACAATTAATAAGGTAAAACCTACCACGAATGTTGCTGGTGAAGATGTACATTTCTACCGTTATCCACACTAACTTCATCGCTGAGGTCATCAGCCCCTTACACTTGAACACGTCTGTCTCTTCCGTCATACACACGCGGAGTAAAAGTTTCCTTTTTGGTTCGGTAAATCTTGTACACTACATAGTACGGTCTCATGCATGAGTGAAACTAATATATATAAATACCAGCATCATACTGCTCGGTTCTTGCGACATGCGTTACCGGGTATAACACCCACAGTCTGGCTGCTTTTACATGTAATCAGGTGTGCTCTTACCTGTCGGGAAAACCAATCTCAGGGAGCTCCACACAATAGCCACGATAACAATTGACCATAATTAGGCTGAGAAATGATGTATTTTATGCTTTCTTGAATTTCGTAAATAGTGCTTTAAATCAGCAGAGCATCCCTACATGGTCATCCATCACTTTATCCTTCATAGTATAGAAAAATAAAACGTGTAGTCCGTTTCTCCAACAACGCAATTATTGTTTAATCCGTATGGAAACGAGGTTAAAACGAAATTAAGTTCTCGTGGGACTATAAAAGTATAAAAAAAGTGTGATGAGCTTTGTTGCTAACAACATGCACACCAAATTAAAAGACAGCTAAACCATTTCTTTAAAATAAAAAGCTCTACTATTCCTTAACGCTTTAGCATGTTTTAAGATTTTGTCTATAACGTCACAAGGGGAATTATTTCTTAAGCACTGGAAATTGAACTAAATTTAGCAAAAAAAATATTCTTTAGCAAGGAACTATCATTTCTTAAATTTCAAATTTGGTCTCTAATATTATTTCAAAATGGGAATTGTTTATTAAATAAATGATAGGGTTTTGACCCATTGAAATAGAATGGCAGACCCCAATGATAAACTTAGGTAAAAGTTGGCTTTAATATGGCGATAGTTCACCTGCAAAACATCTGTATTATGAGAAAGTATTTCTGAAACAAATAAAGTTAATTGTTTCCTAGACTATATACCAAATTTTAAGTTCAATATACTGTACATATGTAGGCCTAACACGATGATCTTGATGCAAAATACGCAGTCTCATAAATACAAAAGTCTGGTTTGTGGACAGGTGCTTACTTTTTTTTCCAGAATTTGTCTTTAATCTCAGTAAGCCTCTGATAGGGACCGACGGACGTATTATGCACCCGCTAGGGCGCCCTTGTTTGATAGCATTTGACAGAAACCTAGCAACGTCAAGCTTTACATTTATATACAACTATTAATAATGCATTATTCTTTCCGTTGAAAATTCCGATAGCAAGAAATTGTTAAAAATTGTGCCAGTTCCACTGAGATGACTATTTGGGAGAAACGTTTTTAAGCAACAATGCTGTAATTTTTCAGCCTCGTAATCATGTTTTTCCTTGACAACGCCAACTATTTCTGATTCATTTTTGGCTTAATTCAGGAAGATGTGTCTATCGTCAGATGTCCGTTGTGGGCCGTTGTGGGTGATAGTCACAGTTATAATAACAGGCGATAGACACAATTGTAATTACAGGTGATAGTCAGAGTTATAATTACAGGTGATAGTCACAATTATAATTTCAGGGAATAGTCACATTTGTAATTACAGTGATAGTAACTGTTGAGGTTAAACATACATATTTTACCTTTGTATTTATGAGCAAGGAAAACACATACCATTTTATTTTTTGTTTGTAATAAGTATGCAGATCACAGAATTATTTTTTACCGAGAACTAAATGATTTCATCCCATTAGACCTGCAGCTAATCTTACATGGAAGTAATGAATTATCCAAAGACGAAAACAGTAAAATATGTCTTCACACTCAGCAATTTATTATTAATACAAATAGATTTTGATCCACCTCTCTCTCCTCCCCTCCTCACCTTCTGTCTTTCCATCTCGCTCTCTTTCTACTCTCTCCTTTCATCTCAGCAGAACTCATTTTCTATAATATATTTAAAAAGCCACCTTGAATATGTATATTTTGTAAATATGTTGTTGGGAAAGGGCTTAATATAAGTTGGATAACTTGTGCCCAGTCCCTTGTATATAACTGATACAATAAACTATGTTTAAAACAAAAGGAAAATCATATAAATGCAAACCATTAGAGGAAAGGTTTTCACTAGTTTTAATCGTCATATAGAAGTGAATTGAAGTGATTCGATGGAAATTAGTTTGTAAATTATCGAATGTTTGATTTGTTTTCTCCTTTAAAGTCTTAATGTACAAAAATAATGGATGCTAATTCTGCTTAATTATCACCAAACACCCAAAGACTGAAAGAATATCATTACTTTTAATTACTTACTATATCATTCATTGATTTCTTATATCAATGATGTCTTTAAAAGTCCTGCGTATTTATCAAAACGTTAGTTAGGACAGCGTCTGTTGTAAGCTGTTCTAACTCTGGCCTAAAATATCAATGTCGAGGTAGTTTGTGCCCTGTTGACAGAAATTTTATTTCTCGTAATATCATTCATGACATCATGTTTCTAAGTTCATGATAACTATGGATTGTTAGTGATAAACTTAGCCAGTGCTATAACGGCTTGTAACGTCTCCTCACCAGACGGGATTATCTGGTCGGCGGGTAATAAGAACCCGTACTCGCCTCTGTCCCTAAGCTCCACTCCGTAAGAATATTTAATATCCTGTTTTCCGTAGGTCCAGTCAGCACTGCTACCGCTAGCCACATCTGCAAACAGTGGCAAATTACTGAATTCTGATTACCACATCTTTATAATCATCTATTATATAGTTTATTCCAATTCCAATTATAGAGGAAAGTCTAGCCATCACATGACATATATTAGTTCATTTGATGTTAGTTCTTTTGAATCGCTGTGCCTATCACAGGTTGATGTTCCTAATGACATTTTATGTGTTGACGGGCCGTTAAGAACGTAATAATGATCATCTTAAGTTACTTCTACTCCATCTCTGTTACCATGGCGCTCAAATAAGAGCCTGTGATACATTAGGAAAAACCTGATAGTCTGTAATTTAAATTCAGTGTTGATGAAACTGTCAATATACAATAGAAAGATTGACACGAAGACCATTAGAAAAGTTAAAGGAAATAAAATCAAAATAAGCAGGAACCGCTTAGATATACTCCCACTCCTGAAATAGGAAGTAGGTGGTCTACTTTCGCTTTGACCCATAACAACCAAAATATGACCGGATGAAGACTTATTGGTTTAATGATATGGTGTGAATATGAATCAAATATGACATTTTGTATACAATGTTACTACGTACCCATGCAATCGCTTGTATCGCACACGGTTTTCTGAATGAGCCAATGTTTGGACAATAACGCTTCGATATTTTATATTCAGATTAAAGGTTTAAGTGTATCGTCAATATTAGAATGATTGAAAAGAACGTAATATACATATCTATATTCTGAACTGTTTTAATAATAAAAATAAAGAAAAGCATTGATAGGGAATCTGGAACATTAACTGAAAGGAATAGATATATTTGATGACACTATACTTACATATTATGTTGGCGATACTGCCGTGTTCAAACTTTGTTCCATGGACAGCTTCAAGTGCGTCACAGGCGGCTTTACCTCCCTCGTCCTATGGAATAAATATGTATATAGCAGAGTGATATGGAGAGAGTACTAGCTAAACAACATCAATGTGGAGATACTATTTAGATACAGAGACAGACATTTCCCCATTAACTTGGACTATTAGTTAAACATATATTTTGAGAGGTACATGACCCTATGTTCCAAGGCAGGGTATTGTTCCTCCAGGTACCAGAAGTCTTCTATTCGTAAATGTACCTTGATTGATGCACGAGTCATCTTATGATCGACATTGAAGAAATTTAAGAAACGATATACCAAACTTTTGCATCAAAATGTCAGACGGAGAGGATGATGATAACGATGATTATAATGGCAAGTCTCGATTCAATATTCTCATCTTTTAACGCTATTTCATCTATCGTTAATATCAGAAAGGTCTCGCAATCCAGGAATCGACTACGCATGATGATTAATATTGCATTTCATTTTATTGTTCATCATATAAAAAGATACATTGTTAACATTTAAACATTAAGTTGACGTCACAACGTTTACATCGTCCGCGTGGTATCTGTATTGCCTGACATTTTGGATAGATATTTTTTGTTTTCATTGCGTTTGCTTGTATTTATTTCTTAATTACGTCTCTGTTTTGTTTTTACAGCAGCACATGAGTTTATTACAGGAAGGGCAATATGTCGTATTTATTATGTTTATTGTAGGTGAAAAGATATAAAGGAAATTATATATATGATTGACAAAGCCGTTGTTGGCAATTTTAGAACTTTTATCGTCTAGACATTAACTGCATTGAACTGACAATTGATTAATTGTATCTTGTAGATTTCTACCTTAATCTGAGGAGTTTTTGAGAATTTGAAAGCATAAAGGACTATACTATACATAACTTTACAGTACAATTACTGTATATTTTGCTTTGATAAAATGTGTTGTATGGTATTGTCTTCTGCCTTTGCTGTAGCAATTTATAAAGAATGATAGAGTTCTATCTCCATTTTTAATACACATACCGCCATCTTCTCCGTTGATATTACATAATGTTTTAAGTGTCTTTCTCTTGTCTCAACGTCAATGAACAGCTACACTAGAAATCCGCGTAAACAATGGATTTGACAGATGTTTAATATAGACAAACATTAAAAAACTACCCTAAGCCCCCCCCCCCTTTATTTACTAAATTTAGAGACAGTTTAACGCAAAAGAAACACTAGAAGGACGAAACATTGGCTTAGAGCAAATGATTGGAAGACACGAACGACAATTTGCAATTGTCAGATTTTGTCGAAGTTTATTATAGCTATTGCAATATTGTCATCGCTTTAAGAGTCTTATAGTTTTGTATGCTTGTTTGTATGTGTCAACTCGAGATTAGACCATGTATTATTTTTACTTTGTTAAGACATGACGACTCCCGACTTAGTTTCGTTTTACAATCATAATTTATCGTTTAATCTCTAAAAGATGCATAAAACAAGTAAACAATTCTCTAAATGTACCATATCCTTGAAATCTTTCGGAAGTTCAGTTGTGTACCCCCAAGGACTCATCCAATACTGGTAGAAACTGTGGAAGTCGATAAAGCCTTTAAGATTTGCTATACTCGCGATTTTATTAGCGACTTCCTTGACTTCGATCTCAGAGAATGCCGAGGGGCCGGCGTAGGTATCAGAGCACGGATCAGAGCTGGCGCCATTCTCTGTTAAGACAATATAACACATGCCAGTTACACTAATAAAATACATTACGAACAAACTGTCATATCTATCCAATACCATTTTTACAAGTTATTCAATATTCACATGTCTACCTTACCATATTTATACAAACCTACCATTCCAATGAAAATCCCAGTTCCGGTTGGGATCAACTCCAGTGCATATCCCATGTACGGACATAGTTTTCCTCCACATTCGGTCCTGAAAAAATCAGTTGTTCGTATGTATATATTCCCTTCGTCTTATTTTTTCCATAATTTGAAAACTGATAGCTAACAATGAGTGTGGCACGTCTTTTTGAAATGGCACGAATTACCTTTCTCCTTCTTATTTTGATACAGTTTACTGCTTAATGCTTCAAGAATATTTAACTAACTTAGCAAACTGATAGTTGTGTCAGTTTTGTTATGTAGGATATCTTGATGGTGTTTAAAGAGTTTGGGATTTTTTGCCTTTGTACAATCTTCCGTAAATGTGTTATTAAAAGCTACTGATATTTTTTGGTATTGTTTACCTTACACAAGATAGGCACTACTTTATTCCTTGTTTAACTAATGTTACTAGAACTGAGATTTAATTGTCGACGAAATACAATAAAATCTGAAGAGTGTGAAGACAGCACAAGGACTCTTAGGGGAGATAAATCATTATCTATCACAGATTTGCCCAGTATGATTGCGATTTTGTCTACACTGCCATCTTGTCCAAATAGTAAATCAAAGATATTGAAACAATTTGAATATTACAATAAAAGACAATACCCCGTTCCAGGTTCGTTCGTATCCGTCCACATTGAAAACAGGGAGTATGTACCAGTCGTAGCTATCTACAAAATCTTTCAAAGCCTCGTAATTATCCAGCATCTGTAGTAAAAAGTAGTAGGTTACCGTTTCGGGTTATTGCAAGCATAATGGCTCTACCATTAAATATAGAAAACCGTTGCGATTGTCATCATGAAATTCTCAATCTTATAGAGCAAGAAGCATGTTTTATCGGTGATTCATCGATCGTTTTCGTGGCGTTTTAGAACAGGTCCTCTGTAATACTCTGTAATACAGAATTCAAAGAGTGACTAAAGATGTATGTCAAAAGTGAGGGATAAATTATATTTATCTGGACAGTGTGTAATACATATTCATAGATGTGGTTTTCAGAACGGACGGAAGAAAATCAACTTTTGTGGTTTATCAAGGATACAGGTGTACAGATATGGAATATTTCCTTATCTAAAACTAACAGAAATATGTTTAAAGAGATTCAACAGTACACTTTCATATGACGTCACGAAAACACAGCCACCAAATGGCATGGATTCCTTTGCTATCCAAAGCACCTGACTGTCCTGCCATATATATAATTGTTCTGTTGATATCGACACCCCGAGCTTGCATTCCTCCAACCATTCAGAACATTTACCTGCCCTGTCATACGTATAATTGTTCTGTTGATATACACCCCCACCCCACAACCCCCACCCCCAGAGCTTGCATTCCTCCAACCATTCAGAACACTTACCTGTCCAGTCATGTATATCACTGTAGCTGGTGATATCCATTCCCGGGAGTGAATTCCTCCTTCCATCCAGAATGCCGGTCTGGGATCAGGACTGGTGCTGGTGCTGATCTACATTTACATTAACCATACACATGAACGGTATCGGACGCTATCTTAGTTATTTGTAACATTCATTTCAAATTACTCATATGCATTTTGCGATGAAAATGATTTAAGGCAGAGGAAACTCTGATGCCCAATATTTGCAGAAATGGAAAAAAGTGTTGCTGCACCGCTGCATGTTTTAGGATATGTGTAACAAGAAATACGTCTGTTTTCCGTGAATTATCAGTATTATTACTATTGTCTCCAGCGAATTTCTTTACCGATAAGATGCAATGGAATAATACTGGAAAGAAAAAAAATCAAAATGCTAAGTTAAAATTTCATTAAATAACCGCAAATTTTTACTCTAGAAACCGATTTATTTCAAATGCTTGAGTTCTATATTTGACAACTTTTTCCGATTCCGGTAAGATGTTTAGTAATTGAACATTTGACTTCGAAACGCCACTTTAGTCCGAGTGTTGGAGAGGTCATTTCCGGGATAATCTATCCACTCTACATTTCAGTGGTCTGTCGTTGTAAGTATACCTGTATCAAGACCTGTTATATATGAAAGGGATCATCGGTGACATGTGAAATTCCTTAGTTCAATGAACTTTTCATTCGTTACTTAATGATATGGTTATGTAATTTCAATATTAAAGCAAACAGACGTCTTGTCTTTAAATAACAAGAAAAGTATTAACCTCGTCCATCGTATAAACCCGTCAGAAATGGTAATCAAATACACGACACACTCTTCTAAATCAGCCGCTTTCGATCTTTTCCTGCAATATGGATAGCTTTCCATCAATTTCCCTATTTTGAATTTTCTATTTATGGATAGCAACACACTGCATTCCCAACTTTAAAAATCTTAGTTGATTCGACACTCTAGGGTATGTTCCCATTATCACAATTTAACTGCAAGAATTCAACTGACAAACGTCGGGTTTTAACAGATGCAGGTTGATGAAAATCGTGGAGAAGCTTACGGTCGTCACAATTATCTCATTGAGTCCTAATTTATTCCTTTAAGCGATATGACACTGGGTGTGTTTAATGCTAGTTAGTTTGTCTGTTAGTTCCGTTATTTCATACCTAGTTCTCATTTGAGAACGTGACATTACTTGCTTGAATTGACCAAGGTTTACATGGCGGGTGTCGTCGATGATGCAGACGACCCTTACTCTTCCGGAAATTCCGATCTTATTCTCTTTGTTCTTCTTCATGAGTCTCCGTGTAAATCTTCCTTATGTTCATGTTTAGCCTTTGTTTTATTGACTTTGAGTTTGGATTACGATAATGTTGACATGTTTTGGTATTTTCTTGTTTCTTATCGATAAATGTTTTTTTTCTACTTTTCTACACTATGTCTAAACATACGAGGGATTTCCTTTGGCGCTAAAAAGGAATTTAGATAACCAACGAATTTAACGAAAATTAATAATCATATTAGTGACGATACTTTTAACTCATCATATCTAATACTTCATATGTTGATAAACACATCATGATATTCGGATATTATAATATTCATTATTCAAAACTGCATACACAATCGGTGCAATCAGGAACAAGAGACAAATACTTTAGCAAAGCCGTTGTAAAAAGTTTAGAATACAATACTTTAAATTACATTACCTTGATACCATTGATAGTTCGAGCTTCATAGGATTTCGTTATTTCGAACAATGAGGCTTTGTCGCTGTATGTATCAGTAATGTTCTTCATCCATGCCTCGATCTTGTAAACAGAAAGTTACCGAAAGTTGAATATTGGGTTTAAATCTTATTTCGATGTGGTGATGTAATATATGTATATAGGAAAAACGCTACCTCAATTTTGCATCAAGTACAAATGTTCACATGGATATTTCAAAATTTGATCAATTAACTGCTTACATTAGTTTAGAATTATAGTGTGTAGCACATATAACCTTGGGTAAATTATTTCAGAATCGAATCTAAGCATACTACTAGGAATTCACACACTTCTTCTATAATTAGAATAGCTTATGGAAATGATTTGGAATTATTCATATACTCGTCAAATGACCTCTGTACAGTAAAAACATGTAAAATGCAGCATTATTATCACATCAGTGAATAGGAACACGAAAATTACCCTTTGTATTACGACTGTTTATTTTACAGTTTGTTTATACTAGTTTATCTAAATCAGTCTTTACAGTATTCATAAATTTAATTCTGAACTGACACCCAACCAAAAGGGTTGTCATGGGATAAAAATCCGATTAAAAATGAAATTTACCTCGCTTAGTGTGTGATACTGTGAGTAATCGAAGTCGGCTTCCACGTCATAGGTGACGTATTTCTGAGCGTCTATCAACTTCTGCACGTCATCTATGATAACCGTTGGAAAGATTCCCCACAAATTGAAGGAAGCATATAAACGCTGAAACACCTCTGGGGACATGCTCATATCCACAGGCACACCGACCTGGCGAGGGGCGAGCCAGAAATCCACCTGCAAATCGAAACACATGAAAGATTTACAATAACATCATCACAGCAGCGCCAAACAGTAATTTAAACTGCATCATACATATGTTTCGTCCTTCTAGGATTCGTCTGTGATGCTAAGATCTTAGGTTTTAAACCTAGGAGGCAACTGAGGGAAACTAAAATCAAAATTATGATGAGGAGGTTCAATAGCAGTACATTTCTGAATTTTCACATTTCTGATAATTTGATAAGAACGGAAAATACATGTGTATATTCTGTGCCACACCAATATTCAAATAGATTAGAACATGACATGCAGGTTACGGCAAACATCGGGAACTAAAAGTTCACTGCAGAAAATGCGATACCGGAAGATACCATGTTAAAATTTTCCCGAATCAATTCAATCATATTGTTTTCATTATTTATAACAGTTTGAAGAGTACTTGCAATAAACCCTATACAAACAAGAACTTAAGGATCTATATGTAGATCTGACGTACCTTGTCATGACCCGTCTGTCCCTGCAACGCTTTCAAGGCCAGTAAATGTTCATACTTCTGAGGAACTACCCTTACCACTTTGTATCTACATAGAAAAGAGGTCTACTTTATTATTATGTCAAACATTCGTTTACTGATAGAGTAAATTTCCTAAAACTGCTTGAAATGAATATGGTAAACATATTGTAGTATGTAAAATCACCATTGAATGTTTTAAGAACTGTGCTTAGAAATCTGTTTTGGCAGAGTAGGTCTACAGCGGTACTTAAAATTAGTAATGATAGCGATAAATTTCTCTTAACTGGACAGACATATTTACATTTTGTTCCATTCTGAGATTTTAATATCTCACCCTATAGAGTTGAGGATTGATTTTCCTTTCATATTTATAATTTCAACGATGCAATGTAGCAATAAACACACCCACCTAGGAAGGTCGACAGAGTGAGACAAAAATAATCATTCACCCCCTGGTTTGTGAGGATAGGGTTGAACTCAACGAGGCAAGCTTCGTGTTTGCCCAATAAATCATCTTTCCTCTGGGTTTCAGATTATACTATCTTCAAGGGGATGAAAGATTCCATTATAATCTTAACACTATCAAAACATCAGAGTAGAAAAGAACTTCATACCGTGATTAATCTATGATCAAATCAACCATGTGGCTCAATGCAGATAGGAAAAAATGCGAAGCATTGCTAACAAAATTGATAGTGTAAATTCTCAAAGTCATTAATGATAGAGACATAACTGTGCCTGTAAACGCAACTAAGGTTTGAGTTCCCAATTTATATCAAAGCTATAACTGAAACAGAATGTGAATATCAACAATCACTGAAGTTTATATTGGTGTCTCGGTTATTGTTTTCTTCGTTTATTTATCTATAAGTTTATCACTCCATACATTTCGTTCATATATATATATATATATATTTTAATGCAATTTCAAAGACATAAGTACAGTTTACGACTGACATTTGTAACCATTGGTGTGAATATATACGGACCGATTCACTTACAGTAAAGAAAACAATAAAGACGAATCATGTGAGCATTGTTGAAGAAGTATACAATATTATACTATGTTGACGTTGACATGTAGATTTCCGTCAACTCAGCTAAATCAACAGTGGATATTTATCATATATAAGTCAAATGCACATTTAAATGTCCATTTGATATTAGATACAGCACAACTGTATTAAATTGTGAATTAAATCAATCCCTAGCTGTTTCATCCTAGGAATCGAAAGTATGGTTTTGTGGTAAAGGCCTAAATTGTTGACAACTAAGAGACAACTGTGGAAATATTGGCCGAAAGACTTGGCAAAACCAGATGGTGAGGTGCATTAGTTCATAAATGAATTCCATTACTTTCAATATTGAATGTCATCGTCGAGTACATGTGTATATTAACGATATCGCCACCTGTGCTATCGTTTTGTTGATGCAAATATAACCATATACCTTTTACATTTGTAATTTAAAAGTTTGATCGATAATGCAGCAGTGCGAGATATATTGAAAATTTTCAAACCATCCATTTTATAAACGAATTAATTTCAGTCCTTTTTTAATTTACTACATTTTTTTACATGAATTGAACCATATTCAACACTTCTATCTAAACTTTTCCCTTTTTGCGGGGTCGTTCATTTGATCTCATTAGAGACACATCCTAAAATGCCAATACTGAACTGTCGTTAATCTGATATCCAATACAACACTTTTTTGTAGTTTTGTATGTTAATGAAAATTTATATGAATTTATGTGTTAACCTTACCCGTCATATCTGATCTCTGAGCCGCGTGCCAATACGAATATCGTAAGGACGACCAGCGCCAGGGTGGATACCCTCATCATGATGGACATGGAAAAACAACACTAATCTTCTCACTAACCTAGACTACAAATATGTATAGATATATATAATCAGTATTACTGATACACATTACCCGAGTACCATGCTCAGTATAGATAACAGGTGCTACAGTTTGTGGTATCACATGTGGCGCGTGTCACGCTGTCCAGGTAGTCTCGTGCTCTAGACTCTTAGAAACATTGCCTTTAAAGTCATAAGATAAACCTAAAACATATGGAAGGTTTATCTCTACATCACAATGAAAATAGATACATATGTTTGTATATCTTACATAAGGATTTCAAAACACAGCGAATTCGAGAAAAAAAAGTCTATATTCCTTGGTCTTTATGTCACGATCCCGTCTGATAATTTGTCCATCCTTCAGTCTAACATATTTCATTCCAACGCAAAGAAACGAAATTCCTTCTCTTGTTGTGAGTCTTTCAACGAAAGCTGATTAGCGGTTCAAATATATGATTTTAAACCATACTGGGTGATATTTCGTGAAAATAACAGCCCATGACAAAGAGAAATATATTGAGAATGAAATCATGAAAATGATACAGTGGTAAGATATTCCTAAAGACTATAGGCATACCCATGAGATCAATCTACCCTTCTCTTGACTTGTTTATGATTACATACGATGCTAAAATATCGAAGGCTATATCAATTATCATCATGACCAAGTTCTTAGAATGATATATCGATAATGTATTGTTTTAGAATATTAGTGGCAAGAAATGTATTGATCATGGCCATATTACATACCTATCAGAACAGAAACGTAGACACTGTAACATGGGACAAGCCAGGTTAGTCTCGATTAAGGGACGAGAAAAGAAAACACGATAGAGCTTTTGTTTAATACATTGTCAATTTAAAATTTAACAAAACTATATACACAAACTATGAAGGTACCGGACACACACTGCAAACATGCCACTTCCGCTCAGTCATAAAGTCTCTGTATGGTCATCCTGTACAATTGACGAACTAACGCCTAATCTTCTGCAGCAGCTTGAAGAGGTGGGACACGAACATTGAAAACATCTCTGATTTTCCAATAAACAGCTGGATCCACTGATAGGTGTCCAAATGGAAAGCACGCTCATGCTCAATGGTCTGTCTGCAACAGACACCAAATGTCTGTACAGCCTCCCAACACGGCCAAGTCCTTGGTTCAAACACACGGCTTCATCAATATATCTTCAACGTACAAACAACTGTGATCCATTTTAATGCAGCAGTCTAGACAGTCAAACTGCATTTTTTCAGGAGGCGTGTCCAGAATGATGACACAGCTTGTTACACCATTCTTATATTGCTGTAGAAACAGAAATACAAATACACTTTGTCATTACACATAACTACCAAACATACTATTATTCAAAGGAGTTACCCCCCAAAACAGTTGGATAACAATTAACAGCAATCTAACAAGATTACCTTATGCTATATATGGGTTTCCATACAATAAATTTCTAATACCACTGAAGTGATAAGAAATTAAATATTATACACCATATAACCTATCTATCCTGTAAATATCTATTATACATGTTTGTATTTAGAAGTACAATTGAAAAAGTATGCCTAAAATTATTGAAACAATTATACAATATTTACCTTTTTGGACCGCATTCCAAGGATAAGTAAAACTTCAGCGCAAAATAAAAAAAAAAAAAAAAAAATAGAACTACAAATAAGCTAAACAATACTTATCTCACTCTATATCACACGTGCCTGTATAAATAGTACCATATTATTATAGATATAGATAAAGCACTGCCCATAAGGGAACACCAGTAGTGCCAAGATGGTAGAAAAATACAACACACATGACACACAATATACAATAAAGCTGTGGCAATACATGCGATGGTGACTGACTCTTCTATAACATACGCTTGCCTCTACCTTTTCCTAAAATGAAACCAGTAGGACAGGGATAGGTGTATGATAGACGTAAAGATTCCGATTTCCTCATTTCTAGATAGTACCATCTCCGTTTCCCCAATATACAGTGTTTACACATTAACTATTTGTCAATATGTACAGGCTTTTATTGTGATGAAGCCTACATGACAAAGACTAAGTCATTTTTTGGCTTTTCTGTTTCTTATTCTTTATTTGTAAATGGAAGGCGCTATTCATCATTTATTACATTTTTGCAAGTGAAATATAGAGAAATATCTCATTAAAAAAGTGCTAAATAACACTTTAGCTGACTTAACACCAATGTAAAGAGAGAACACAAATCAACTTTCAAAACTCCGGTAAAAAAAAAAAAAAAAAACACACACACACAACTAGAAGCCAGAGGGGTTGTTTACAAATAACACTACCTTCAATTCCATGATAAATTTTTATTTTCATGAAAGTCAGCAAACAATGCAACACAGATTATCTTATCCGAGATGAAACCAAATCCAATACCAAAGGTCTTGAATGTGAAGCTAATACGTTAGACGTTTCAAGTGGATTCATGTCATCAACGGCTGCATGTTGCAGCCATATTTAAAAAAAAACACGCACATAATATATTTGTTGCGTATTGTGACGTTATAATGAGTGGGTATTGTTCACGAAAAGCCTAGTCAGCTTCCTCGTTTTATATCTGTTCTAAATAGGCCAGTAATTTTGCTATTTTGCTTGTGAAAATGTGATGAATAGAATATTTAATAGTTATTAGACACACCTGTGAAATATATTTGTTATTACTGAAGACACGATTAAATATCCTCTATATTCCTTTTGAATATTCAAAAATGATAAATTTGAGTTTCACTTGGCATACACAAATATGCAGCTAATAGTTTAGGGTTGCCATCTAAAATGATGGAAATGTGTTTGCATTCATATGATACAACATAATGAGATAAAAGTGTTATCTAGAGATACTATCTCCGTATGAACCAGTATCTATGTTTGGGGTAATTGTGATAAGAGGACATCTTCGCTAGAAATAGTCCTGTAAACAGTTGTTAATAATCACAACCTAATTTCTAAACTACTAACATATGTGCAGCTCAGTTTTTGTTGGTTTTTTAAATTATTTTTTTATTTCTTAATTTTTGTTTGTTTGTTTGTTTTGTTTTGATTTTTCTCCTAACATCAAATACCTGAATTAGCTAGGGTTTCTGTCTCAGTATCCCATACATAAAGTTGCCAGGGTTTCTGTCTCAATATCCCACACATAAAGTTGCCAGGGTTTCTGTCTCAATATCCCACACATAAAGTTGCCAGGATTTCTGTCTCAACAACCCATACATAAAGTTGCCAGGATTTCTGTCTCAATATCCCACACATAAAGTTGCCAGGGTTTCTATCTCAATATCCCACACGTAAAGTTGCCAGGGTCTCTATCTCAACACCCCACACATACAGTTGCCAGGGTTTCTGTCTCAATATCCCACACATAAAGTTGCCAGGGTTTCTATCTCAATAACCCACACATAAAGTTGCCAGGGTTTCTGTCTCAATAACCCACACATAAAGTTGCCAGGATTTCTGTCTCAATATCCCACACATATAGTTGCCAGGGTTTCTGTCTCAATATCACACACATAAAGTTGCCAGGATTTCTGTCTCAATATTTCACATATAAAGTTGCCAGGATTTCTGTCTCAATATCCCACACATAAAGTTGCCAGGATTTCTGTCTCAATATCCCACACATAAAATTGCCAGGGTTATTTTCTCAATATCCCACACATAAAGTTACCAGGGTTATTTTCTCAATATCCCACACATAAAGTTGCCAGGGTTATTTTCTCAATATCCCACACATAAAGTTGCCAGGGTTTCTGTCTCAATATCACACACATAAAGTTGCCAAGATTTCTGTCTCAATATTTCACATATAAAGTTGCAAGGATTTCTGTCTCAATATCCCACACATAAAGTTGCCAGGATTTCTGTCTCAATATCCCACACATAAAGTTGCCAGGGTTATTTTCTCAATATCCCACACATAAAGTTGCCAGGGTTATTTTCTCAATATCCCACACATAAAGTTGCCAGGGTTATTTTCTCAATATCCCACACATAAAGTTGCCAGGATTTCTATCTCAATATCCCACACATAAAGTTGCCAGGATTTCTGTCTCAATATCCCACACATAAAGTTGCCAGGGTTTCTGTCTCAATATCCCACACATAAAGTTGCCAGGGTTATTTTCTCAATATCCCACACATAAAGTTGCCAGGGTTATTTTCTCAATATCCCACACATAAAGTTGCCAGGATTTCTATCTCAATATCCCACACATAAAGTTGCCAGGATTTCTGTCTCAATATCCCACACATAAAGTTGCCAGGGTTTCTGTCTCAATATCCCACACATAAAGTTGCCAGGGTTTCTGTCTCAATATCTCACACATAAAGTTGCCAGGGTTTCTGTCTCAATATCCCACACATAAAGTTGCCAGGGTCTCTATCTCAACACCCCACACATAAAGTTGCCAGGATTTCTGTCTCAATATCCCACACATAAAGTTGCCAGGATTTCTGTCTCAACAACCCACACATAAAGTTGCCAGGATTTCTGTCTCAATATCTCACACATAAAGTTGCCAGGGTTTCTGTCTCAATATCCCACACATAAAGTTGCCAGGGTTTCTGTCTCAATATCCCACACATAAAGTTGCCAGGGGTTCTGTCTGTCTCAATATCCCACACATAAAGTTGCCAGGGTTTCTGTCACAATATCCCACACATAAAGTTGCCAGGGTTTCGGTTATATTAAGTTCATACCCAGCATACATACACGTATGGTGTAACGAGTACTGTGTAACGCGTGGGTATATATGTTCACCTAACGACATGTTTATATATCATATGAAAATATGCATGCATTATTATAATTGCGCACACTCATTACGGCTTTAAATTGCACGTGTTTTATCAATTTATTTACGAATGACCACTAGTGGTTATATATGAATTCAAACTATGACTTCAAACTCAGACACATGAATTTTGTGTAAATTGTGAA